ATAACACTGTTATTATCATAAATCAGTTGTTACAATTAAACTGTTTATTATTTACAGCTCAGTGGTGCCAAGTGGGCGCAGCGTTTGTTGTTTATAGAGGGCGTGAGTCGTCGTCGCCGATCTTTGGTCGCCACTGATCTATATGTAAATGTGTTGTGCAACAGTAGAGGGCGTCCATATAGGCAGCAGGCCTGAATAAGCATCGAACAGAAATTAATTAAGAATACTCGGAGTTTCGTCGCATACACAACTTGACAACATACACTTTATTCACTTTAATAACTACAGATTTAAGCTCTATACTCCGCTCGAAACTTTTGCCAGCTCTATGACGCGCATTTCTGCAAATCCCATTGCCCCCCCCCCCATGCAATTTCTGCAGATCCCGTTTCATACCCAAAACTGGCCGACCGGTCACCGTGGCTACGCCACTTACCGGAATAGCACAGTTACACGACAAGATCAATGTAATCCCATTGCAAATGCCCCCCCATGCAATCCCATTGCCCCCCCATGCAATCCCATTGCCCCCCCATGCAATTTCTGCGGATCCCGTTTCATACCCAAAAATGGCCGACCGGTCACCGTGGCTACGCCACTTACCGGAATAGCACAGTTACACGACAAGATCAATGTAACTTCTAATGCATCCTAGACGTCCACGAGGCATCTAACTTGCGTGCATGATGCAAATTAGTGCACTCTAGATCTAGTGCCGAACTTCGCCGAAAAAAAGACAAAAAAGGCATTTTCTAGGGACCAAATAGTGCAATCCATCTGAATGATGGATTACAGTGATTTACAGCTGTACGTTTGAAGACAACATCTCACGCATTGAACACCATGCTGATGTAGTTCACAAGGGCTTTAATGATCGACTTTGTGTTTTCGCACATGTAAAGGAAAGCCCACCCGGGTCAGTATACAGTCAGCTGTGGGAGAAAATACAAGCGAACGAAGAGAGCTATACAACTAACATAACAAAGGCCATGGAACTGGTGCTAACGGGAAAATACACGCTGATGTCCAATTTCGTAGACAGCGAAATGTCCTTGGCTGCAGACCTCGATAGAACGGGTCAATGCAGGTGGGTATATTTCTCACAAATTATGTTGCTCTATCGAGAGCGTATTATGCTTCATACAGTTTAATTTGATGATTTTATAAACGCCCTTAGATGCGTATAATTTAATGTTTACATATTTATTATTGTGTAGTTTAACTTTAATTTGTTATTGTTGTATTTTTCTATTCTAGAATGAGTTGTACCGTATTGTGTAAATATTGTTTCGTATTTGTTTGTTTCTCAATGTCATATTTGTATTTCATGTTTTCTAATCAGGTGTCATCATGTTATTAATGAGTTCATTGTTCTCCTTGTACTTCCTTGTCTATGTTTTATGCATACATTTATCACTTATTTAGTATAATAATCGTTTCATTTTTCCTCATCGAATAACAAATTCACATGAGTGAGGTGGCTGATGTGTGAGGTAGCTGATGTATGAGGTGGCTGATGTGTGAGGTGGCTGATGTGTGAGGTAGCTGATGTGTGAGGTGGCTGATGTGTGAGGTGGCTGATGTGTGAGGTAGCTGATGTGTGAGGTGGCTGATGTGTGAGGTGGCTGATGGGTGAGGTAGCTGATGTGTGAGGTGGCTGATGTGTGAGGTGGCTGATGTGTGAGGAGGCTGATCT